GACGTTTGGCAGTCTGGGATACTGGCCGCGGGCCCAATCCGTCCTTCACTGCCATGGTGTTTTAGCCCTGCGACACGGTCCTTGGACTCCAGCTTGGACCGAAGCGGTGCAGAACGAAAGCCGGCTCCAGGAGGACCCGAGCAGGGTGGCAGTTGGCAGTGCAGAAACGCAGGAAAAGTCAAGGTTTGGAGCGCAGAAGAAAGCCCGGCTCCAGGAGGACACGAGAAGGGTGGCAGTTGGCAGTGCAGAAACGCAGGAAAAGTCAAGGTTTGGAGCTAGTTTCTAGTCGGTTCAGAAAGTGACGTTTGGCAGTCTAGGATACGGGCCGCGGGCCCAATCCGTCCTTCTCTGCCATGGTGTTTTAGCCCTGCGACACGGTCCTTGGACTCCAGCTTGGACCGAAGCGGTGCAGAACGAAGGCCGGCTCCAGGAGGACACGAGCAGGGTGGCAGTTGGCAGTGCAGAAACGCAGGAAGTCAAGGTTTGGAGCTAGTTTCTAGTCGGTTCAGAAAGTGACGTTTGGCAGTCTGGGATACGGGCCGCGGGCCCAATCCGTCCTTCACTGCCATGGTGTTTTAGCCCTGCGACACGGTCCTTGGACTCCAGCTTGACCGAAGCGGTGCAGAACGAAAGCCGGCTCCAGGAGGACACGAGCAGGGTGGCAGTTGGCAGTGCAGAAACGCAGGAAAAGTCAAGGTTTGGAGCTAGTTTCTAGGCGGTTCAGAAAGTGACGTTTGGCAGTCTGGGATACGGGCCGCGGGCCCAATCCGTCCTTCACTGCCATGCGCCCTGCGACACGGTCCTTGGACTCCAGCTTGGACCGAAGCGGTGCAGAACGAAAGCCGGCGCCAAGAGGACACGAGCAGGGTGGCAGTTGGCAGTGCAGAAACGCAGGAAAAGTCAAGGTTTGGAGCTAGTTTCTAGTCGGTTCAGAAAGTAACGTTTGGCACTCTGGGCTACGGGCCGCAGAACGAAAGCCGGCTCCAGGAGGACACGAGCAAGGTGGCAGTTGGCAATGCAGAAACGCAGGAAAAGTCAAGGTTTGGAGCTAAGTTTCTAGTCGGTCCAGAAAGTGACGTTTGGCAGTCTGGGATACGGGCCGCGGGCCCAATCCGTCCTTCACTGCCATGGTGTTTTAGCCCTGCGACACGGTCCTTGGACTCCAGCTTGGACCGAAGCTGTGCAGAACGAAAGCCGGCTCCAGGAGGACACGAGCAGGGTGGCAGTTGGCAGTGCAGAAACGCAGGAAAAGTCAAGGGTTGGAGCTAGTTTCTAGTCGTTCAACATTTGGCAGTCTGGGGTCCTTCACTGCCATGGTGTTTTAGCCCTGCGACACGGTCCTTGGACTCCAGCTTGGACCGAAGCGGTGCAGAAAGAAAGCCGGCTCCAGGAGGACACGAGCAGGGTGGCAGTTGGCAGTGCAGAAACGCAGGAAAAGTCAAGGTTTGGAGCTAGTTTCTAGTCGGTTCAGAAAGTGACGTTTGGCAGTCTGGGATATGGGCCGCGGGCCTAATCCGTCCTTCACTGCCATGGTGTTTTAACCCTGCAACACGGTCCTTGGACTCCAGCTTAGACCGAAGCGGTGCAGAACGAAAGCCGGCTCCAGGAGGACACGAGCAGGGTGGCAGTTGGCAGTGCAGAAACGCAGGTAAAGTCAAGGTTTGGACTCTGGAGCCGCAGAACAAAAGCCGGCTCCAGGAGGACACGAGCAGGGTGGCAGTTGGCAGTGCAGAAACGCAGGAAAAGCCAAGGTTTGGAGCTAGTTTCTAGTCGGTTCAGAAAGTGACGTTTGGCAGTCTGGGATACGGGCCGCGGGCCCAATCCGTCCTTCACTGCCATGGTGTTTTAGCCCTGCGACACGGTCCTTGGACTCCAGCTTGG